GTAAGAAAAGCCCACACCCCCCCCCCCCCCCCGTGCCCTCTTAGCAATTCCTGGACTTGCAGGGCAGAAGAGGAGGCAAGTGTGTCTGACCAGGTCTATTAGCTTACAGAGTGCACTGGGAAGAGTGGTCAAACTATGGACCACACAATTATATTTAGGTACCCTGCATAACTGCTGTAATAAGGAGGTTGAGGAGACTATGAAGAGTATGAAAATTGAAGTTGCTAAAATAACGTCTATTAGACTTAGGGGTCTATTCACAAAAGGGTGAAGAGTTTGGAGAAGGGAGGGGAAGTGAACAATCTAGACCAAAATACCTGATTTGGAAACAGTCTCTAATTAAGCTCACTTTCCAGTTCAGCTATGTTGTCCTAGATTGTTCACTTCTCCTGCTTTCTCCCTACTCTTCACCATTTTGTGAATAGACCCCATAGTATCTATCTTTTTTTAAAATAAAAAATATAAATATAAGTGTATTGGTATAGTATATATTGGTACATAACTGGCAAATGTTGATTTGACTGTTAACCTATCAATGAAACAATATTTGTTGAGTCTTTTGAAGTATTTAAAGTTTATCTCCTGTGATCTCTGAGCTGACCTGATTACATATCTGCAGTTTGTAAGTTTGTGTAAATTTCACAAGAACCTATACCTGTAGGATACTGAAGTTTAAAAATCACGTCCATAGAAAATGTTGGCTTAAATATTTATATCTGCCAACCCATGCATTCATCCAACATCAGTTTTTCAGACAAAAACATCTCCGAACAGAGCTAACTGGGATACGTTCATAGATAAAATAGGTCTTATTCCAAAAAGAGTTTAATACAAATGAATAACATGTCTAACCAACATTATAATTTATATTAATATTGAATTATTAATATATATTTTTTAATTGCTGTGTACTGCATTTTGTGTATAGCTTTGATACACTTCCCATCAAAATTAACCATGTGGCTCATTGATTTATGACCTTTAAATGAAGCTTGCCCAAGTACAAAAAACAAAAAAATTGTTTTTATTCATAACGTTGTGTTCAGAGATGCAAATTTATCTCATCTTTTGACCATGTAAATGATCGACCATTCTGTCACTGAATTCTGTGTAAATTGTCTCAAAGAATATAAATTCTGCAAAATACAGAATAGGACATTAGGTAAATGAAAAATAAATTCTCTTCTTTTAAATTTACCAATACCATGGTATTCCATGCCAAGCCTTTTCCCAACATACAAAAGCTATAACTGTAGATGAATTGAGAATAATAAAATAATAGACCCAATTCAAGCCTTCATTACCCAATACAAAGCCAATATAGATTTGATTTTTTTTTTTCTGGAAGTTTCAATACATGAAAAATATAACTTGGGTAAAGCCAAGTGTAACCAACTTTAGGAATACACAGGATTTTAATATTTTAGATTACAATAGAATTTTTAATAAATAAATTTCTTTGTTTTTTTATTATGTTTTTTTTTTTCTTTTTTGTAAAGACATTTTATTGGAAACAGTAGATTTAGCCCAGTCATTTACGTTCTTTTTTTTAATATAAATGGTCTGTTTTTGCTCTTAGTCTCCCATGTTGCAGAATTTCAGATCTGCGTCTCCTGTACATTGTCCTTAGAGTTTGCGCGAATCAGTAAAGGTTCATGCACTGAGCTGTGTATTGAATTTATTGTGTTCACTGTTGTTGTGTGATTAAAAGGGGACTTATAAGAGTTATAATGGTTTAAATGCTCGTGTTCTATTGCGGGCATGGGTAAGTGGCTCTCAATGGGCGTGTCAGCTGTGAGTTCATCATCCACATTAATAATCTCAACAGTCCGCGTAGGAGCATGATGGTTCTTCCGATGGTGCTGTTTTCTCATCTTATAGAAAATGACCAACATAACAGCTGCCATAAGGGTGATGGCTACAAAACAGCCAATGATAATTTTGGTGGTCTTCATAACTTCATCTATCCCTGGCATTCCACCATTTGCATCCGTAACCGGGATGGTGAAGGGTTTCTCAGTGGAACTTGTGCTCTGCGGCATTAGAGAAGTGGTTGCATTTGCGGTTTCCCAGTCAATAAGTGGTGTAGGACCCACATGATGTTCCGTGGTCCTGACCTCGTCCTGAGATGGTTCCATAGTCTCTACAGTGACAGTGGAAAAGTATGTAAAAGGATTATTATCATTGGCAGTCACATTCAGTGTCGCCGAGGCAGTGGTGTTCCCTGCGGAATTACTGACGATACATGTGTACAATCCTGTATCTCGCATTGTTACGTTTGTGAAGTTTAGTGTGCCATCATTAAGCACAGAAATTCGCACTTTGTAAGCCCCATGAGTCATTATGGATCCATTTGGCGTAATCCAGCTAACATAAGTCAATGATGTTGATGCCCGACATTTGAGTTCAGCAGCCATCCCCTCTGTAACATTCAGATCAGTGGGTGGCTCTAAAATCACTGGGGCATAGCATGTAAAATAGTTCTGGTCCAACTCAGCAATGTGAGTGCCTTTTAAACTGGGAGGGGTGCTACAACGAGCACAGCATGTGCTGCCAGTAGTGACTATCTCTTTCAACCACCAACTAAGCCAAAGAATGTCACAATTGCAGTTCCAAGGGTTGTGGTGCAACTGAATCCTTTGTAAATTATGTAGAGGTGTAAAAAGGTCATGAGGCAGCGTAGTTATATTATTATGTGCCAAATTAAGCTCCACAAGTGATTGAAGGTCATCAAAGGCATTCCTCTCAATCACCTGAATTTGGGAATGCATAATCCACAGTTTCTGTAAATTGGTTAATCCTTGGAATGACCCTGGCCTGAGAACAGCAAGATGGTTTCCAGAAAGGTCTAGTTCATCTAGTTTTACAAGTGGAGTAAGATTGGGGATTTCTCTGAGGTTGCACATCCCAAGGTTCAGATATCTAAGGTTTGAAAGCCCTTCAAAAGCTCCTTCTGAAATGTAAGACAATCTTTTCATCTCCCCCAAATCCAGTCTGCGCAGAGAAGGGATGCGATTAAAAGCATAGGATGGAATGCTTTCGATGGGGTTGTTCCTCAGCCAAAGCTCTTTTAATTTTGACAAATATTCAAAAGCTCCATTTGGAATGGTTGTCAGACGATTGTCAAAGAGCTCCAAAGTGTTCAGATTTGCCAAGCCGTTGAAGGCCCCAATTTCAATCGTCCTAATATGATTCCTACTCAACTGTAAAACTTCTAAGTGTCGTAAATGCTTAAAACTGTCCACTTTGATTATTTGGATCTGGTTTTCATGGAGGTTAAGCTGCCTCGTGTTGGTGGAGATACCATCCGGGACTTCGCGGAGGTTCCGTCGTGTGCAAATGACTTTGCTAAACTGGTTACTGCAGGAACATACAGAAGGGCAGGTCTGAGCCCTAACCAACCCAGCCACCACGAGAAGTTGAAGAGCCAACAGCACAATAAAAAGGGGGTCAAATAAGGCCCTGTTGAACCTAGGACCTATCATCATCTGCTGTGGATGTAATGTCATCTTGTTCAACATTCATACTTTGTTTGTGTTTGGTCCTTCAGCAGTTCCAGTATTCTGAAAAAAATTAAAACAAAGAAACAACGTTAGTTAATTAATCAAAAATGTATGGATCACAATAAGTTCAGCAACCAAATGACTTAAAGTAAACAAGCATAAAAATACAACAAAGCTGAAGAATGTAATATATTGCAGCCTACCAGTCCCTAGACATAAGTACAGGGAAGGTTAAGTACATTTTCTTAAAGGAGAACTATGGGGTCAGGGCTTTTCCCCATAGTTCTTCTAAGGGTAATGGGAGGACACAAACTAGTGTCCTCCTGTCACCAAAGCTCAGTATACCATGAGCTGTAGCTATACCTGTGACAGTTTCCTTGTCACAGGTGGGCTCAAATTATGAGGCTGAGTGAAAATCACTCGCCTCATATTTCTCCTTTAATGAAAAGAAAAAAACTCATGTTGATCTTTATACTTGAAATGTGCATCCCCACAACTTTCTTATGCACTCAACTAAAATCTTAGACAATGCTGTCTTCTTAGCTAACTTCTACAAATTTCTATCAACTACAAAACATTTCCCATCAATATAATAGAGATAAAGAGAGAAGGAAGTGATTGTAGTCTAGATCAGGAGAGCAGATGGTGTGACAATGTTGCTCCTCCACTGCAAGAGTACAGTGAGTGAGTGTTGTCACCCTATGACAGGAGGTGTGTTACTTGCAGGACCAGCAGGTAAAGATAAAGGACAACAATTCTTAAATAAGAAAACTAATTCAACTACCTGATGAGGCTATATATAAAATTGTGTTTCAGAAATGCATTCAATTCATCCTTGTTTAGTTGACCCTGAAACAAACACACCTTCCATGTCTATTAGCAAGATTATATTTGTGCTTGGAAAGTCACTGACATGGCAGTAACATCATTATTGGAATAGTGCCCTGCACACAGCAACATCATCATTCATGACAATCGGGAGCCTTAAGCCATCTTATCTGTGCACATTAAGAATTATAACCGTCTCTGAAAAACCTCTACAAGCATAGGAACAGACAGACTAATCTACTGGATTGTTTGTCCTCAAGTAAAGTTGTTATGAGCCTAAGTAGTGTAATATACAGTATGTGTATAGATCTTGTTCCAAGCATGAATTTACTCATCTTTCCAATAGTTGGTCTGTAGGCTGATATTTACCTGTAGCTGGATTAAGCAAATGCTGGCTTTTGAAGATTGCAAGTGGATAGGCTTCTCTTTTGAATAACCCAGCAATATGTCTACAGACACACCTCCAACAAGTCTTGAGTTTACACCATTTCCCCTATAACTTCATTATTTCGCTGCCGCATTAGATTGACCCGGAGTAGACTTTGTGCTCAGCATTATATACAGAAGAGTGGTCACATGTTTGCTCAAAATTCCATAACCACCATCAAGACAAGCTGGCTTAGTACAGAGCAGTCTATAATTGACAGTCTGCTTTTAAAACCTTTCTCTGAATTCCAATTCCCTTATAACTTCATTATTTTGTTGCAGCATTAGAATGACCTGGAGTAGACTTTGCACTCATCATTTAGAGTATAGAAGAGATAGTCACCCGCACGCCAAGGTCCAATGCATCAATATTTCCTTTTATTGATGGCAGATACACATGGCATCACAAGTATGAGCTCATGTGATGCCAAGTGTATCTGCTATCAATAAAAGGATGTATTGACGCATTAGACCTTGGTGTGCAGGTGACTATCTCCTCCTCTACGTTTGAATTTGTGCGCCGCCAACCACATATCTTTCCGGCACCCATCTACATACTACAGTGGGATTCTGGTCTGGTGTGCAATGGGATATCTGTATATTATCATCATTTAGAGTGGTAGCATTTTTGCTCAAAATTCCATAACCACCATCAAGACAAGCTGGCTTAGAACAGTGCACTCCGTGATTGACAGTATGCTTTTACACCATTGCTCTGACAATGGAACCATGACGGCTACATCCTTAGCTTAAGCAAAAAAACAGCATTTGCTTGTGTCTACAGATGTCTATATAGCTGCTATGTTCAGGGCTGGATTTACTCTCTCTGCTGCCCCAAGGCCAGGTTCCTCAATGTGCCCCCCTACCCGCCAACAACCCCCCCCCCATGGAGAATGACAGACCTGCAGGCTGCATACAAGTGATCTCTGCGACAAACCCCCGAGATCACTTGCACAATACAAGCGGCAGCTTCCTCGCTGTATATTTAGCTCTGCTTGCCCAAAGCAGAGCTAAATGTAGAAAAGAACTACCCACCCGGCGCCTGGAACTGCATGTCCTGGGCATCGGGAGATAGGAATTCCACACCCCTGCTGCCCCTCCACTCCCTGCTGCCCCGAGGCTGGGCCTTGGTTGGCCTTGTGGGAAATCGGGCCCTGGCATTGTTTAAGGTGGCCATACACTAGTATATTTTTAGTCTGAAAGTTTTCATGTCTGCCATGAACCATGATTTGATTATAGCTCGAAAAGCCCATCAAGCAGTCAAATGTCGATTTCGGAAATCTTTCGTTAGCCATACCGACCAGCCAATTTTTGACGAACGATAGAAATTATTTCTTTTTGCTCATGTGCTGTGTTCTTGCTACAATTTTTGACGAACGAAAACCACACCGATTCATTGATTTTCATTCGGTCAAAGAAAGTTTTTCCAACCTGACCGATTGAAAAATTTTGATCACAATATCAAAAATGAAAATTGGTGACGTGCCATCAACTGTTCGATTTTTATTTGACAGACCGTTCATGTACGATTTCCGAATGAAAATCATACAATGTATGGCCACCTACATACAGTACATCAAGACAATAACTTAAAGTTTATTTTCACTTTTGCAGCTAAATTGGGATAACACCTTTTTTATATTTGTTTCATAATCCAATTCACATAGCATAAGCTAAAAAAATAAAAAAACAGCTTCTTGCAGTTAAAGTGCTTTTCCTTGTGTTAGGGTTTCTTGGCTTCTTAAGGGTTAACATTTCTACTTCCCTCTGCTTCTCCTTCATTGTAATGTTAGGAGGGGTTGTGAGGGTTTTGTTCATTAACATTTGTAAAGTGGATTCAAATGCTGCCTGATCCAACATAGGTTGAAATTTCTTCAAATTTCAGTCTTGTCATGTCTTCTTTCTATAAGGACAGGTCACCATGAAGGTGCTCAGAAAAAAACTGGATTCAGCCAAAACATTTAAAAAGGTAAACATTTTTCTTTTTCATATATTCTTTTTTTATTATGCTGTGTGAATGAGAACATATAACAAACATATAGAGGGGATTTTCTAAAATTTTACTGAAAAAGTGGAAATACACTTTAAGTTACATCTAAAGACAAGTTTGTTTGTTTTACATAAACTGGCTTCTAAGCTGCTCCACAGCTAACAGTCAAAATGATACATGGAGATCAGACATTTGAATCAAAGTGGTGGCTATACGCCAACTAAAAACACCCATCAGATTAAACAAATGAGGCCGAATGTAAGGAGACCAAGAGAAGCATCCCAACAAGGAGTCTACAAGATAAACCTTACTGCAGCTAGAGGACCACATGTCTTTGTACTGTTCACAACCAGAGTAGTTCAATCATAATCATGTGGTATTTGTAATGATACATTTCCCTTTAATAGCACAAGAGATGGGGCCCACTTGCAATGAATGACAAGACTTATATATATATATATTAGAAAAGTCTGATGGTGGGCACCACACTCAGATAAAGGAAAAAGCCGCCAAGGTGCACACAGGGCAAGTAAACACAAATGGTCCAGCGGAAGAGGCATTTGCGGGTCTTGTTTTGTAGCAACATAAACTGATTTATTGACCAATAAATCTTTTTATGTTGCTTTAATACAAGACCTGAGAGTGCCAGTTCTACTAGACCATTTGTATCTACTTGCCATGAGTGAACCCACACAGCTTTTGCTCGTCTCTGAATGTGGTGCCCACCATTGCACTTTTTTACATTCTATGATACAGCTGCTGCACAGATCATTTTGAAATTTAATGTAAAAAAAATCCCTTTTCACTTCATTGTAATTTGGCAAAAAGCTGGCATGTTGTATGTTACGTCTATAAAGAATGTCCCCCAGAAAAGTCATTTCCTGTTTTCCTGTTCAAATGATTGGCTCACTGCTATTTCCAGAGAAGTCTGCACAGAGCTGGGTCACATATTACGAGTATCTTCTGCCTCAAGAAATTCAATTTTTTCCAAGATTCTTTCTATAACTCTTAGTGGCCAAAGGAATGCAGAGGGTGCACCTTTTCCTTTAAGAATAGTGAGACTGCTTAGGTGTTAATAATGAAGGTTGGCCAGTCTCTTTGTGAAAGGAAGGCATACAAACAACAGTATTTTCAGAACAAAGAAAAAAAAATGCTATAAGTTTGCTTAAATCTTTACAATAAATATAAATCATTCAAAAGTGATTGTTTTTTTTTTCTTCAACAAAACTAGAGTTTTATAAAAAGAAAGAAATGTGTATTTGAAGTACAAAGAAAAGGATGTTTTAAAAAGTCTCTTTTGTGTATTTCTTTAGAAATAAAAGGCAATATTGCACCTTTTCCAAAACTGTGCTGAAAAAAAACATGCAAAGTGATTTAAAAAAAAAAAACATGTTCCCCTTTATCCTCTCGTTCAGATAGTTTCCCTCCAAGGAAATTGCTCCCCGGAGTGCTAGCTCATGGAGATCATTAAGACTTCTAATTAAAATTAAAGCCACACTCGCACTTTTGAATAAATTATTGATTAGAGAGTAATTCCCTAAAATTACCTTTAAAATTCCATCAGCTGACACGAGGCTGTGTTGAGATAGCAAGCAATGCTTAAAAGAATAAGCAGTCTGTTTGGAGGTATTGACGGTTTCCAAATTATTTTTCTCCGCTCTGACATATATTACTGTTCACAGATAATCAATTGTATTTGTGAATTAGAATTTATTAGTAGCCGCGGAATCTTTTCCATCGACGATGTGACAGAACTAAAAAGGAGCTATTAAAGGAAAACCATATGCAGCATAAAATTCTCCAATAAATGTATATA